ACATATAATAAATGCATAATATTGAATATTTTCAAATATTTATATAATAATATTTATTTATTTTTATTTTTGAATATATTATACATGTAATAATATATAATATGTATTTAGTGAATCTCAAATTGTATAAACATCCGCAATTCACTGATAACATATCGAAAACAAAAGTGACATCACGTTCAAAGAGATTTTAATCTTCTGCATATAAATGTACGTAAAAAAATACAAACAATTGAAAACTTTTTAATACCGATATCTCTAACAAATAAAGAATAGCTTGAAATGTATGTACGATTTTTTGATAAATGAATCAATCATTAATTATCTCTGCTCTAAGTGATAAATTATTTTATGCAGAAATGTTGAACATAAGCTGATTGTTCGGAATTAATTTGTAAGAAATTCAATTTTTTGTGCTGGAAAAAAAATTGCATATAAAAATTTTATAAAAATTAATACTATAGAAACAGAAACAATATGCCAAAAGAAGTCGCAGCGATAAAATTAAAAAGACTTCAAGTTATTTCTACAAACAATTGTATTTTAGCTGGAAAGTGGATACATAAAAGAGATATATTTATTGTCCACAAAGCATAACAAAATTGAAATGATCGAAAAAACCTAAATAACACGGGTTATAAAAAATAATATCGTTTTAGATTATAGATTATAATGGTTGGAGACGATTTACAAGATACTTATCTTGAAGTTACTTATCTTCTTTTTCAATGATAAGAAAATTTGCTAAGAATTACAAAAAAATATTTTTCTATTTAATGGACATGACATTTTTTTTAACGCATTTGTTTTATTTCGTAAGATAACAAATATAAGAAAAACTAAAAAATATTCTTTTTCAAAGTTTTCGAGGTGTAAAGTATGTGCTGAAAAAAATTATTAATAAACAATAATAATTAATTATTATATATGTCTGTATAACATCTGTCTATAAACAGAATTATTTTACTAATTGTACAATGTACTATTGTTTCTACTAATATGTAGAGAAAGAATTCGTGGCACGAAGCACTATCACGTCGAACTATTGTACACGATTTAGGCACGCGTATCCGTGAACCCCTGCTAGCGCAAGGGGTCAATATTCCCCTAAAGCATAATTTCAGGCTGTTGTAAAAATTTCATGATAACTTTCCTAACAATGTTACAAAATTGTCAAAATCTTCTAGGTTTCAACATTATCTATCTCCGGAATGTTCATATACAATTCATCCATGTACGTGTGTATAAAGTCTATATATAGGTCAAGGTCATGAAATTTACCTCAAGTAGTCGATCATCGATTAAAAATATCCTCGTGCAACAAATTTCATTTCATTTATTTGGTATTTCGACAGCCACGTCAGCGGTGATCCTGAAGACAGAGCAGGAGCATCATCGGATATCCAGTCTTTCAGGGGACAATATCCTTGGCGCAGGGGTTAGGATTGGCCGGGGTGAGGACGCAGTCGCTGTTAGCAACGGGAACATTATGGATTCGGCGCAATCAGCCATGATGAAGCAAACAGACTACGTCGTAGGTTAGTAAACCAAGCTTTAAACAAATTCTTTTCCACCCATTAAATGGACTTCGTTAATTAAATTGAATTCTTCCATCTCGTCCGATCGTTTCTGTGGGATTACGAGTTCGTTAGAATCTCCCGTGATATTTCAAAATTTCGCCGAGAAAGATGATCGTTGCGACACAAGGGCAGTTTGTGTAGATGAATCGACTGGTTCGATGATTCAGTGTTTTAGAATGGGCATTTCTTTCATCGTTATCGTCTTTCTTTATCGCTACGAATGAACTGTGACACGGTGATTCAATGTGTTCTCGTAAAAGTGCAAGAAATACAAAAATACGGAAAATAGTGAAGCAGAGATAGTGTTTTGATATCACGTTATGCGATTCTCGATATTGACATGTACAAGAACATTCCGACAACATAATCGTTATATAATTAGTGAACGAAAATTGTCCAAAATATTGCGTGTATTGCGTAATAGTACGATGATGCGTGTAATTTCAACGAAACACGCAAACTTTATCATTCTCTTCGTTTGCCTATTTTCCTTCTTTTTTGAATCGGCTGTGATTTTTTTATATTTACAATGAAATGCAAAAAATACGCTATTTATTAAACACACAGTCGATATTGGGATCTTAAAAAAATTTTTTCTGTTTGAATTTAACAAAGAAAACGTATATCTTTAAGTAAGTCAAATAAATTATGTACTCCATTTTATACAAGTCATTATTTGTTCGGAAAATCACTTGAAAATTCCTGATGTTCATCATCAGGCAACGATAATTTACTGATTTTCTAATTTTGCAGTCCATTAGTCTTGCTTAACTCTTTAAAATTAGTTTCCAGATAATGCGAAAACTTTTCCGTTCGTTATCGCTGTTTACGTTCATCGAGGTTGCACCGTTTGCTCGTTTTCTGGTTAGGTTTTTATTTAATTATATAGGAATTTAACGAAACAAGTCGTTTCCTTTAATTTAACGTTCCTTTAAAATTCCTTTAATTATTTAACGAGACAGTCTGCCTTATCGGAATTGGAAGTAAGGCTATTAAGAAAAGTGTGAAAATTTTCAATGAATTTGATTGAAATTGAATTTAATGGAAATCAACGTGGGAACGTTGTATTTGAAAAATGAAATTTAAATTGATATTGAAATTTGGAAAAATTTGGATATTTAATTATATGGAAGTTTGGAAGGAATTGTGACTATGAAAGATTGTACAGCTCCTACAAAATGAAATGTAAAGACCGTATTGAACTCGATTATAAGTAGTAATAAACTTGTTCGTTGATTAACGAATATCGATTTCGCATCGAATGACGGACTGTCATGAATGTCATGATTGAAAAACAGAAAGGTGAACGAAGTTATTGAATTTTGGATCCATCCGTTGGAATACTTATTTAATCTTAGTTGATCTTATGAAATACTTATTCAACATAAAAATATTCTATTCATCACTAATGATAAAGATGTTATCCAACAGCTTTTTTTCTGTTGTGTAAAAAAATTCTGAATATTACGTAATGCTGAATATTATACAATCAATGAACTTTATATCAGCAATAATCTTTTTTCCTTCATTCAGCATGTTCAACAACTTGTTACCAATTGCCACAGATAGTTTCAGTCAATTTCTCTCTTTTTAATTTAAAAAAAAAAACTGAGACAGGAAACTGAGATGAAACATAAATTGACGAAACTTCATTTTTGAAATGAAAAGTTATCCTTCTCTGTTATGTCGAAGATCAAAAATTAAGTTATTTAGAATTATTAATAAATAACTGGCAATTTTCTTTGTCAATTATGAACTTCTTGATCTATAATTAACGTCGGCTTCAGGCAGCTTGATGATAGATATCCAATAAAGAAGTATAACATAATTATAAAAAAATCCATTTCATTAATTGGAATCGGAGCTGGTCGATTAAGAGGCAATCAGAGCGCGGAAACGTTGGTGCGCGCGAATGGCAAACTTCGATCGATTAATCATCCGATTAAGAGCAAAGTTCACTATGCCATATGCTTCTTGAAAGCATGAACTGTGTAGAATGGCGAATTGAAAAAGTGGAAGACGAAAATCCCCACGTGGCACAATGCACCTGCTAATCTATGCTTTCCCGATCTTACAGACGTTGTCTTGCCGACCGTCCTAATTGCCCTGTTGTTCGTTGGCAACGCCATTATCGTCTACATTATTTTTCAATATAGAAAGAGGTGAGTAAAGATCATGGAATAATAATTGTGCAATCGTGCTAATAATTCTCTTCTGCTTATTTGTTGATCTTGATTCTGGGTCAGTTTAAATTCTCAGTCAAATCTTTTCATTGAGATACAAATATATGATAGATTTGTATAAAACTGATAGGAATAGGAATGTTCAGTTAACAACACTCCGTTTAGTTCTTGAATATTTCAAACTTTTAATTTTTTTTTTTTTTTTGTCGAACGAAGAGACTTTAAAGACTTTTTCATTTTGAACGAGGAATAAAACACTTGATTATTCTTATCGTCTTCTTGATTACTTTGAACATTTTAAAACTGAAAATTTTATTTCATGTATGATTTCGACTCTTTAATATTTATTTATTCATACGATATCTAACCATGTTGAATTTGCTTCTTATCATTTTAATTATAAGTGATTATAATCATATGATATACCAGTATAAAGAATTACTTAAAAAGATTAAACGCCTTGAAAAAGTAATTAAATATAACAAATGTCATATATGAACTTTACATTGGTGTAATTCACAACAAATGTTTTAATTTTAATTCTGTTTGCAGGAAAGTTCCATCAATGGAACAGGGCGAGGAAATGTCTCTGCGTAACGCAGCCGAGGTCCCGCAAGTGTGATTCACACAAGAATCGACGATAAAATTCACGGTGCCAGCCAAAAAGTATCAGCGAGAAGGCCTACGTTGCATTCTACGAGGATGATCTCCGAACGAAAGTGGATCTCGTCGAGAGGCATCGACTGTTATTTCTTTTTTCTCTTCTCAATGTTCAAAGGAAGAATTGTCGTCGAATCAACTGAGGGGATCCTCAAATTCGTGTTTATTCGATTTCGTTGAATCACACGTTCTTCAATATGGGGAGCATAGTTTAAAAATGTTTCTCTATACGTACGAAATTCGGAGATGCTCTCGAAGAAAAGACTATAAATGTGCTCGTTGCCGCTCGTAATAATTGCTGTCAATATTTAAGAAATCAGGCGCCTAGTTAGTGCTGCCACGATATTCTACGCGTACAGACACACACATACATACGTACACGTACATTACGATAATGTATTATAACGTAAGGAAATAATATATTCTATATTTCGTCCAAATTGTGAATAAGTTAAGAATAAACTGATGTTTTCATAATATTTTTGTCTTTCTCTCTAAATATTTTGTTAAATTCTTCTTGTAGAAAAATAATATTTATTTATCTTTACTTACAAAGTATTTTTATTATTAAATTAAATTAGAAATATTTTTGCAAAGGTTCACCTAAAATTTCTTCTAGAATGCGTACTGCGTTCTGTGCGTTCTTCTCCGTAGCTTCATCCTCGTCTTCCAACAATTCGGCTAAGAAAGGTATAGTTTCTGGCAGAAGTGGCATGAAATCTTCGCCAAGCTTCCTTACAACTTCAACCTATATTCATACAAAATAAAATATTAATTCAACTTCATTTTACGAACTCAATTTAATGGCATCTTTGACACTATTGCATTGAGTTGTAATAAAATACAATAAATTAACTTTAACTGATCAATATTAGTTAATTAAATAAAAAAAGAAAAAATTTACTTACCAATGCGTTCAAGGCAGCACTTCTAACGTGTGGTTTCGAGTGTCTTGTCTTCAACAACGTCTGATATACTAATTGTTTGTGCAAAGAGTCGTCGGGAATGGCACTGGCAAAGGCTGCTATGCAAGGTACCATTAATTCATTCGCCCTCTTTTCATAATCTTCTATGGTGCCTAAAGTATTCTCTAACTGATCCACAATTGGTTGAGCCAGTATTTCGAATCTCTCTTGATTGACGAAATTATGAGCGTCATAACTGAAGACTCGGTGAAGAGTCAACAAAATAGCTTCTACTAACTCGATTTTGTTGGACTCTTGAGTCAGAGTCATCTCCTGTGGTTCCTCCATAAACGCTGGATTATTACTACTTAACAACATTGCTGCATGCTTGAGAAAATGACCAGCGAAAAGAACGAAAAGAGATTTTAAACATTCTGCTATATTGCCTGAAAGTCTGCAACAAATATGCAAAATCTATATTTAGTTCAAAGACATAAAACTTCTAAAATTATATAATTGCAAATTATACGTTGCAATGTATGAAGTTTTGTAAAAAAAAAAAAAAAAATATAAACATCTGCTATTATATTAATCGGTATTTTTAAAATATTGAATTTAGAAGAATCCGAAAACCAAATAAAAAGCAGAAAGCTCTTCAATTGTTTTGATTATTTCAAGTAAAATAATAATTTATTTAATAAACAAACCTATAGAAAGTGATACTTCGTTGTTTATGTTGTGGATTTCTAGCAGCCCAATCGTAAAGCTTATAATAAAGTGGCCTAAAGGTAGTCTCGCTCAATTTTAACGTTAAAGCAACCAATGCTTTACTGGCGTTTTCTTCTATAATCACTACATCATTCATCGTTAATTCCGATCCATCCATCTCCTTGTCATCCTCAGTATTTGAAATATCTTCGCGAAATTGTAAAACTTT